AGACATCATGTTCACTGGTTAGCTAGTAAACCGATAGTGTCTCATAAGGGAAGGTTCAAAGCCAAAAGCTACCTATCCTTTGCAGAATATTTCCTATTTCTGTACTCTCTGTAATTAGATCATGTTGTTGCATTTTCTCTCCGTCAAATTCCATTCATGTGGGGGATTGTGGAAAAATGTTTAATATAGGCATATTTTTTAGCCTAATTTTGAGTGGGTCCCAAACGTCTTTTGGGGTGGGTCCGAAGAGGTGAAGTGTTCCTTGCCGCGTGGCAAGCCACACGTGAAGACGGAACGTCAAAACCGTTTATGAGTGAAAGGGAAGTTGACGTCGTTTTCGGGTCTAACATTAATTTTTAGATAAAATTCATTTGAATTTTTTTTCAATAAAAATTATTGTGGGAATTTAATTTAATTCTAAATTCAAATTTTAGGTTCCTAAGTGGTTTCCTAAAGTTTGTAATTGTGGGAATTTAATTTAATTCTAAATTCAAATTTTGGGTTCCTAAGTAGTTTCCTAAAATTTGTGCCTCTTCCTTTATTTATTAAACTATTCAAATAGTTTAATATATATATATATATGTATATTCCAAATAGTTTAATATATATATATATATATATATTCCAAATAGTTATTAATAATAAAGTTCCTAACAGTTCCTTTGTTTGTCCACCAACGGACACTTTTCAAATGTTTGAATAGTAGTGTTCATGTACAATGGCCAGAATTGTTTGAATTCAACTATTGCACCTGTTCTTTTAAAAGTGCATCTGTTCATTCAAATTGTTGTACCTGTTCGAGGACTATGTTGCCTATAAATTGAGATTCTATTCCAGCAGTCTTTACACTGAGAGACATCCGAAAAATCAGTCTTAAAATCTTTTCTCTTGCTGTCCAGATTTTCCTTTTGCATTATTTCTTCATTCTAGTTTTAGAATAAATATTCAGAGAGTTAGATCACAGGTTTTGGTTTGCCAAACAATTTGTTTTGGAGTGTTACTACAAATTGGTTAAGATCATTGTATCCTGGGAGATAGACGCCACTCAACCGTAAGCACCATAGCGGGGTGAATCTGTCTTAAGGATAGAGTGTCACACACTCGACTTGGTCTCTAATTATTGATTTGGTTCAACAAAATAAATTTTGTAAGTTTTATTTTATTTTGTTTGAATTATTTCAATTTATTTTATTTACACAGAAGATTGTTCCAACAAAGAGATGCAGCAAGAACAAGCATCTTGTCAACCAAGTGGAGGAGTATTTGGACTACAATTTCGCAACTCAAGCTTGGAAATCAGTTTTTCAAAGACAGCATAGTCAAACATGAACTTGTGAGTGTTGTTGAGAAAATTCTCTTGCTTCATGATGGCCCCATACCGATGTTTCTTTTCTGCATTCCAAGAAAACGATTTGATTGCAACACAGATATTGATTGTTGGATTCTTTTCCTTTCGAGGAATGGTATCAAGGACTTAACTCTTATTAATAATTCAGATAATGAACCCTATAAGTTGCATTCCTGTATCTACTCTTGTCCTAAGTTGACTCGTCTAGAGCTTGTCAATGGTATATTCAAAGCACCATGCGAATTAAGTGGCTTTCATAATCTCATTAGCCTTCATCTTAAAAAAATCGCATTTGCACACAACATTCTGGGGACGCTTTTTTCCATGTCCCCACTGCTTCAGAGATTGACCATCAAACATTGCACTGGTATTGGCAATCTCAATATCCAAGCTCCAAAGCTCAAAAGGCTACTTGTACAGCACAATAGTGAGATACAATCAATATGTTTTACGGACACCCAAAATCTGAGTTACATCGCTATCATATTTGGTTTAACAATGGGAAGCACCAAGAGTGTTAAAACACCCAATGTGGTTAGGTTTCTTAGTGACTTGCCTAGAATTGCAGAGCTAAATTTGGATGGCTTATTTATTAAGGTGAGACATTGGTTTTATAATTTTGCCTGGTTTATTTATTTCAAAACTTGTAGCTTGACAATGTCCTTATACAATTTGTTGCCATTTGCATCAAAGATTTTGGCTGCAGGTGGAGTTCCCTATAGGCTTCCAACCACAGCTAACCTTTTGAAGGTACTTGCATTACATAATTTTCGGTTTAATGACTTGGATCATATTTCATGCGCGCTTTGTCTGATTAGAAGCTGCCCCAACATGATGAAACTTCAGATTTGGGTAAGAATGTTGAATCTAGAAACTTGGTATGTTATCTTTAAAAATTTCAGACTAATTGGTTTTGCATAATGGTATTATCTTCACAGACTTGCATAATAATGGAGAGGAACGATGAAGAACTGGTTCTAAATCGTCTGGAAGCGCCAAACTGCATGGATCGAATGCTGGACAAACTTCAATCTGTGAAGATAAGCTATGTCATTGGTTTGGAGCCTGAACTTTTCATCAAGCTTCTGTTAGCCTAGTCACCAATGCTAGAAACAATATTCATTCAGCACAGTACAGAAGTTGATTTCGAAAAAGGGTTCAGTATCTCAAAAGAGTTGGCACGGTTTCCTCGAGTGTCACCAAAGGCAGCAATAACATACTAGATAGCGATCGTGCTGACATAGATGTTTGTTTTTCCCTTTCTTCTACATCTGGTATCTGATCATATAAAAGTTCATGGAGATTTGATGAGCACTAGCTAAAACAAATTGAAACTGTAAATATGTGTATTTTTTCTCCTCTGGTTTGTGTGTGTAGTTTAAAGTTTTATTTATGTTTAGTGGAAGAGCAAGTCTTTTTCCCATGGTATGGTTAAAGATCCTCATTGCAATGGCTTTGGAGGAATGGATTAAAAAACCTGTCTTTTCTGTTAAATGGTGTTTACCAACTTACCACATGGGCATCCCAATCCTTTTCCGTGTACAGTTTTTTTGTGTTTTTTAGTAAATTGGTTGGAGGGGAATAGGGAAGGAAAAGTTGCATAGTGCAGACTCGAAACCAGATATTTCGCCTTGTTTTGCTCAACTTTCGAAAATGAGAAAACTTTAGTTGGAAGTAAAATTATTTTTAATTTGTATGCTGATTAGAAATTCACATTTTTTAATCTATATTTATCGATTCTTGCAAATTTACAAAAGAAGATAGACGAGAGAAAAAATTAATTTCTGATTCAATCATCAACAGCTGAAAGGAGGATGAACTGACTAAAAATGAAGAATGGGTCTTAGCCTCTACAGTTTTTAGTTAGTTACTTGTTAATTCATTTTGTACTTGCTAATGTACCCATATAATTAATTCAAAGGCTTTTTGTGCATTAGATTGAGCATTTTGTTTCTTGAAATTGTTAAACAGTTACATGCTGGAATAAACCAAAGTTAAAGACTGTCTATACTAATTACAAGCAATTGAACCAGTGGTGAATGAGTTGAGGTAGATTTGTTCATGAATTTACTCCAGTTGTTTCCACAGCTCTAAATTTTTTTGACAAAAATGTATAACAACCACAACATAGTCCTGTAAATTGATGATAATAAAATAAAATAAATAAAAATGTGCCTAGAAGACCTCAAATGCTGTCGTATCTTTCTGCAGAATACCACCTAGACATGTCTCAACATGGTTGGAACTCTGTTCACAAAGTTTATCAACCAGAGAATGGCAAATACATTCACGGAGCGTGTAACCTATGCTAAACATATAATCCAACACAAGTATAGCCTCATCCAGCTTATCTCCTTGTGATAAACATTGAATTAGTCTCTCAAAAGTTTGCTTTTGCGGTTTGAGGTTACGTCTCAACATTGCAGCCAACCATTCCATCCCCTCAGCTACATACCCTTTATTGCTCAATCCAGTTATGATGAAATCATGAGTACATACTGCTGGTTCCACGCCCCTATTCTGCATATCCTCCCACAACTCTTTTGCTTCATCCACATCACCCATCTCACAAAGTTTTTCTATGAGGGCAGTATAAGTAGCAGCTGAAGGTTGCATACCCTTCTCTAAAAGTTCAGCCAAAAGATTTATACTTTCATCTATTTTCCCTTCCTTGCAGAAACCCTGAATCAAAGAATTGTACGTGATAATATCACGAGCAATTCCTTTCTCAGCCATTTCTTGAAAAAACACATGAGCTTCCTCTGTTCTTCCACGCAAACACAGCCCTTTGATCATAATGTTGCAACTCACTGTGGTCTCTTTATAACCTTTACAACACATTTCATTGTACAACTCCTTCGCCTCTTTAAGATTACCAATCCTACATAACCCATAAATGAATGCATTGTACGTGTATTCATTTGGAACTATTCCTTTGTGAACCATCTCAAACCAAAACTTCCGAGCCTCCCCAATCCATTTCATTTTGCAAAGACCATGTATCATCGTTGTATACATGACCCTATCCAGAGCATACCCTCTATCCTTTAAATCATTGAAAATCCGAAATCCTCTTTGAATGATATTTTTCATACAAAAATGTATAACAACCACAACATAGTCCTGTAAATTGATGATAATAAAATAAAATAAATAAAAATGTGCCTAGAAGACCTCAAATGCTGCCGTATCTTTCTGCAGAATACCACCTAGACATGTCTCAACATGGTCGGAATTCTGTTCACAAAGTTTATCAACCAGAGAATGGCAAATACATTCACGGAGCGTGTAACCTATGCTAAACATATAATCCAACACAAGTATAGCCTCATCCAGCTTATCTCCTTGTGATAGACATTGAATTAGTCTCTCAAAAGTTTGCTTTTGCGGTTTGAGGTTACGTCTCAACATTGCAGCCAACCATTCCATCCCCTCGGCTACATACCCTTTATTGCTCAATCTAGTTATGATGAAATCACGAGTACATACTGCTGGTTCCACGCCCCTATTCTGCATATCCTCCCACAACTCTTTTGCTTCATCCACATCACCTATCTCACAAAGTTTTTCTATGAGGGCAGTATAAGTAGCAGCTGAAGGTTGCATACCCTTCTCTAAAAGTTCAGCCAAAAGATTTATACTTTCATCTATTTTCCCTTCCTTGCAGAAACCCTGAATCAAAGAATTGTACGTGATAATATCACGAGCAATTCCTTTCTCAGCCATTTCTTGAAAAAACACATGAGCTTCCTCTGTTCTTCCACGCAAACACAGCCCTTTGATCATAATGTTGCAACTCACTGTGGTCTCTTTATAACCTTTACAACACATTTCATTGTACAACTCCTTCGCCTCTTTAAGATTACCAATCCTACATAACCCATAAATGAATGCATTGTACGTGTATTCATTTGGAACTATTCCTTTGTGAACCATCTCAAACCAAAACTTCCGAGCCTCCCCAATCCATTTCATTTTGCAAAGACCATGTATCATCGTTGTATACATGACCCTATCCAGAGCATACCCTCTATCCTTTAAATCATTGAAAATCCGAAATCCTTCATGCTGCATTCTTCTCTTGCATAGCTCTCCGATAATTTCCTGATATGTAAAGATATCAGGGCATCAGTTCTTTGCAATCATAGCATGAAGGAGAGCAGACACTCTCGAATAGTATCTATCCTTGCAAAATTCAGATATCAATTTATTAAAAGCAACATTGCTGGGAACAAACCCATCTTCCAAAACTTGCCTAAGAAGCCCAAAACCTTTCAAAACATTGTTATCAATACAAAAAGCTTGAATCAAATACTCAACTGTATCCACATCCCCTATAACACCACTACCCATCATCTCTTCATACAACTTCCAAACAGCATGGGTTCGCCTAGCTCTAACCGAACCCAACAAAGCTAAATTCCACGTTTCTAACAATGGTCAAATACCAAGCTTTTACAATTCATCAAACACCTTCAGTGCTTCCTCAATTGACCCATTTTCACACAGACATCTAACATAAGCCTCTAAAGAAGAAGGTTGAGGAGTAAAATCTACAGAAGTCAAAAACGATTTTGCAGCATTGGCAGCTTTAGCTTCCACAAGACCATCAAAAATCACATCACACGCCAATTTATCCGGTACAAAGCTGCGTTGAGAGCTTAGCCAAAGATAGAAACGGAGACAAAGAAGCACATTGTTTTGCTGCTTCCAAAGCTCAATAAAAAAGTTGGGATCGAAGTGATTGATTGAGGGAAAATCTGAGAGTAGAGTTTGTTCCCATCTGGGTCGAGTCCAAATGACCCTCGAAACCTCTTTGGCGATCTGGGTTAAGCTCTGTGTCTTCGGTTGTTGATGGGTCTGAAAAAATTCTTCGCCACCATTGCTGAGGCCGAGGTTTCGGATTTGGGGGTTAGGGTTTTGGATGGAGTGAGGGTTTTGGTGGCGGAGGAAGAGGGTTGTGAGAGATTGTGGAGGTCTTGCCATTCACTGTGGTGAGAGATGATTGTTATTAGGATATGAAAATGGACGGTTTTTAGTATATATACGAAAGGAAGATCCAATCTTGTTCAAAAAAGGAAAAGGAGAAATGTATGGTATGGAAGCTCTGATTGACTGATGAGGAATGAGAATGGATCGGATCGGAGTGGAACGATAAGCAAACGCTCGAATTCACTGCTTCAGATTGCTAAATCGTTAATTTTCTTATTTGGAGTTGAAAGCTGGGTGATGAGGTTGATTTCAGTTGATTTTTAATTTTAGATTATTGTTAAATTATTTATATAATTCGTAAATATAAGATATTAAAAATATTTTATTTTGTATATTTAAAATGGTATCAAAACATTTTCTCAACTTCAACCTAGTTTCTCCTGACATTCTAATACAATTTATTTATGTTTTTTTTTTTGTTTTTTAAATTTTATTCATGTATTTGAAATTATTGCTTTTTTAGTGCATTTGAGTCATAAGCCCCTAAATTTAATTTTAAAATTTTTAGAATAATAATCTCAAGTCCTAATATTTTGAGATCACAAGAATAATGGAAATTTAAAATATCATATTACTTTTACATATCTATTCATATGTTATCGACTTGTTTACTTAATTAATATATTTGTCTATATTATTACCACCACCAGTAACCAATCACTGCTGGCCACTCTAATGAAATTTTTGACAGCAACAATTTTTAGATGATCGTCAAATGGGCAATCCGATGGTGATGGGTACAAATTGAAAAAATTATCTTTCAAAACAATAATTTATTATTTATAACCAAATAATTTCATTAAATATATATTTCCAATCAAAACAAAACAATCCTTTGACCTAATCTCAAACCGGTGGTTACATACACTAATTAGACTAATTAGTGTATTAAGATTAGTTATAATATTATTATTAACTCCTGTTCATTAATTACATTACAAATATCAAAAATCTCTTAAATTATATTACAACATCAATTAATACACTAATTAATATATTAATGGGATTTTTATTGATAAATCCATTCTAGAGTTGTTATAACCCATTAGGTCCACTAAAGAATATTATAACCTGATTAGTCCCATAAACTTTTCTTTTTATTCCATAAGATCCATTTTTCTAATTTAATATAATTTCTTGGACTATTTTGCCCCTATATATATATATATATATATGTACAGTGTTAATACGTAATAGGTGCCTGTTTCTTCGCTCATGCAGTTTGGCAGTTTCTATTTTACGCTTTTCATCATCAATCCAATTCCGAGAGATACGTTTATGTTTTGCATGCTCGTTCCAAGGATTGGTTGTGCTAGGGTTTCATCCTTGCTGTTGTAGTCTGGTTCTGTGGTTTGCGAGTGAAGACGACGAAGAGGAGGGTGTTCGGTTGTTACATTTTCCGGACTATAACTAGTTCAAATCAATTTTTTTCAACTTTCTGGACGATTGTAGGATTGCATGATCAAGGTTAGTATCAATTTGGTTATGAATGCATGTTCAGTTTATGGTTTCATTCATATAATGGATCAGATGCTCTGTTTTTGGATTTATATGGATTGAATGCTCTGTTTTTTCAATTATATGCATTTTACGTGGTTCTGTGGAGGGGAGTTCATTCGTATTATGTGAAGAATGTGTAGTTCTCATTTGACTTGGATGCATGCGTAATGAGGCTCCTTGTGGATGATTTGATTATCAGTATATATATCAATGTGAATGTTCACATTTTGTGAATGTGGAATATGTGAAGAATATGGATGTTTTCATTTTAAATTGATGTTTGAATGTGGAATATGTGGATGTGGAATATGTGAAGAATATGGAATATGTGAAGAATATGGTGACAATCTTCGAATTGTGTTTCATGTTCAATGTAAATGATGTGAACGTTCACATCTGCTAATGATGACTGATGTGAATGTTCACATCTGTTAATTTGTCAAATAGTCATGCAATGTATTACAGATTTGAATGTTGACATGTGTCATATTTTGTTGTTGTTGTTAACATTCACATCTGTCTATCAGTTAAGTTGACAACGTAATAAGCATATAATGTGAACATTCACATTATTAAAACCTGGTAGCAGATGTGAACATTCACATTAGTATACCCTGATGTGAATGTTCACATTAGTGTATACTAATGTCAGTACTGTGAATGTTCACATCTGTCAACGTGAATGGTCAGACCTGTTAAATTCCGTATTGTACAATGTTTGTGATATGTACACGTAGTCATCTATTTTTTGCACAATGTGAATTTTCATATCGATTTTCATTACTGTTCATTGTTGTGTTTTTGTGTTTTTACAGAAGATGGATACCTTTATGCTATTGGTGTGTACATATGGTTGTAGTACAACTGTAATAATTGTTGCCCGCGCAATGTGTTAGTCTCATTTGGTGGAGTGTTTGTGTGAGAAATGAGATGAGTTGTCTGCTGGTTCTATTTCATTGTTCTGTAAACTACCTGGATTAATAAGTGTGATTTGGACAATGAGGAAGAATTTCAGAACATGGTACTGCTTGCTAAATCAATGGGGGTACAACATGTAGAAGTTGTGGTTGAGTTGAAAGGTGATATTGGTCAGTCAAGTAGTTTGGGATTGCTACGTGTGGGGGTTGAGGATGAAATTGATACACTACAGAGATTTTGCCATCATAAGGAGAAGGTGTTGTTGTCAGCCCCTTGGGCAAATGGTATTACGCATGTAGGACAACGGTTTGTTGGAGGTGCACAAGAATTTCGTGACGTTTTATGTAAGTATGCCATCCAATGTGGGTTTAAGTTCACATACGTCAAGAACGAGACAACAAGAGTTACTGCTGTGTGTGCAATGCGGGAGGAGAGGGGCTGCTTGTGGGCTATACATTGTAGAGCACAACGAGCAAATGATTTTTTCTACATCAAGAGGTTTAGTGATGTGCATACTTGTGGTACGGATGTCCGAACATCGAAGAATCCGCGAGTTAGTCCGGATTTCGTGTCGAGTACCATATCTGAAATTGTGAGGGACAAGCCGTTGACTCGGCCGTGTGAAGTGGTGACTATTTTGAAGAGGGATTATGGGCTAGATGTGAGTTACCATGTCGTATGGTTGGGTGTGGAGAAAGCAAAGGTTGGTATTCATGGAGATCACACGTTATCGTTTGACAAGTTGCGGTGGTATTCGGATGCCGTGATGCGGTACAATCCGGGGAGTTATGTCAATATTGACTATGATGCGAGTAGTCAATAGTTTTGTCGCTTCTTTGTGTCATTTGCTGCATGTATTTCTGGGTTCAATGCTTGTCGGCCTTTATTATTCCTGGATGGAACATTCCTCAAAGGAAAGTACAAAGGTCAGCTACTTGCGGCATCGGCGAAATACGGAAACAATGGTTAGTAGTTTTTTTTAGCTGTCTATTCATGTCAATATTCACTCTGAGCAGCATAGTCTGGACAAAAGAGTGATTGCTAAATTATAAGTAATGTGAACATTGACATTAGTATGCATTGATGTGAATGTTCACATCTGTGTCTGCTAATGACAGTAATCTTGTCGGCCTTTATTATTCTTGGATGGAACATTCCTCAAATGAAAGTACAAAGGTCAGCTACTTGCGGCAACGGCGAAAGACGGGAACAATGGTTAGAAGTTTTTTTTACTTGTCTATTCATGTCAATATTCACTCTAAGCAGCATAGTCTGGACAAAAGAGTGATTGCTAAATTTTAAGTAATGTGAACATTGACATTAGTATGCACTGATGTGAATGTTCACATCTTTGTATGCTAATGACAGAAATGTGAACATTCACATTATTACAGACTGATGTGAATGTTCACATCAGTGTATACTAATGTTAGTTGATCTATTAATGAACAGTACTGTGAATGTTAACATTGCCAGTGACTCAACAATTAACAATGAATTATTAATGGTCGTTAATCTGAATGTTCACATCGTTGATGTTTACGAACCTGAATCCAAAAATAGCAATGGTAAATAGGGCAATGTAGATATGAACATTCACATGACCTGTTTCGTTTATACTGTTTTTCTATTCACTTTGGACTATTGTGAACAGTTGTGTATTGGTGTTGTGTTGTAGGTCTGTTTCCTGTTACATTTGCAATTGTTGATTCAGACACCACGGCTAATTGGTCGTGGTTCTTGCATGAACTTGAGAAGGTTGTTGATGGGAAGCGCCATATTACTTTTATTTCGGATCGTAATCTTGGTCTGTTAGAAGCTATGCCAAAGGTGTTCCCATCGGCTCATCACGGTTATTGCTTACAACACTTGAAGAGCAATTTAAGAGACCGGATGAAAGGAATTGATAATGGATTCAGGGATCACCTAGTAAGTAGTTTGGGTGACTGTGCCTACGAGCCAACTGTGGTAGGGTTCCATGAAAAGCTTGCAAAATTAAAAGAGGAGGGTAAACAACGAGCTCATAATTTTTTCAAGGACTTGGCACCTGAGCACTAGGCAAATTCATACTTCAGGTAATAATAGTTTCCTAAGGTGTTCCATTTGTGAAGTTTAGAATGGTAGTGATGTGAATTTTCAGTTTAGAATGGTGACAATCTTCGAATTGTGTTTCATGTTCAATGTAAATGATGTGAACGTTCACATCTGCTAATGATGACTGATGTGAATGTTCACATCTGTTAATTTGTCAAATAGTCATGCAATGTATTACAGATTTGAATATTGACACGTGTCATATTTTGTTGTTGTTGTTAACATTCACATCTGTCTATCAGTTATGTTGACAACGTAATAAGCATATAATGTGAACATTCACATTATTATAACCTGGTAGCAGATGTGAACGTTCACATTATTATACCCTGATGTGAATGTTCACATCAGTGTATACTAATGTCGGTATTGTGAACGTTCACATCTGTCAACGTGAATGGTCAGGCTTGTTAAATTCCGTATTGTACAATGTTTGTGATATATTGTGCAGGGGCATGCGTTATGGGGAGATGACATCCAAT